ATATATATATATATATATATATATATATATATATATATATATCGTTATATGAGATTTCCCCCGTGATGATTGGGAAAAATATATTTTCGACTCCCTTCTTCATATGTCACAGACGATTGTACAATTTATTTTTCTACTCCCTGTGCACTACTTATAAGACGACGTTTCCGATGTTTGTAAAATATTTTACGTACGTAATTATTTAATATTTCCGGTTTTAGCTAAACCATTGTGTACATTTACAATTATGATATTCTTTTAATAGTTAAAAGAATGATATATTATTTATGTCGGAAATGTTATTAAAAGTTATAAAAATAAACTTCTTTAGTAGTACTTCTATTGTGTTTGTTTTGGTTTATATTAAATTACAATTCGAAGGATTGTAAATAGAACTTACATCGTTGCTTTCAAACAAATAGCAGTTTTTAATTTAAATTATTTTCTCTACAGATCATAATACCCATTGTTGATTTTGATGCAATGGATGTAGTTTTAGACAACGGTTTGGAGGCAATACAAGAGGTAAAATAATTTTCAAAAATATTTTAAGGAATTTTTCGAGGTTAAAACAATTTTAATACCACTTGTTACTTGTAAACCTGTTATGAATACTATTTCTTTTAGGTAATATGAGTTAAAGTACTAGCAATTTAACAAATACAGTGTATTTTAGTATATATGAACAAAAAGATAGTGCATATTCAAAAAATTTATAAAGTAAACCATCTCTGATCTTCTAGAAAATCGTGTTAAAGATATCTTAAAATAAGTCTAATCATGAAATGCGAGTTCTTTATGATATGAAAATAATATTGAATTCGGAAAGTGTTATCGAGGTTTGACTGTATTTTGATTTACAGTGCTTTACCATTTGTGTGCCCGTCAGAGACACTACCAACCGTATTGTAAGAGTAATGTATTTTCAATCATATAAAAATCTACATACCAATACTCTCACTTCGTAAAGATAGTCACAAGAACATTTTACCAATAGTTTACATTCAAGAATGCAGTTCGTGCATAGCACAAAATTCAAAATATTTTCAAAGTATTTTGCTTCCTTCAGAATAGGAAGTCCTGTACAATAATCCATTTTACATAAACGCTCTTAACATTGTCAACTAGTAACATTGTCTTTAAGATCATTATCACCTCTTTATGCAACACAACTACTACTACACTTCAGTGGACATGAAAGACGTCTCTATATTCTTGAACAATTTTAATCTATATTTGATCGCATTTTCAGCGAAAATATGTACATAAAACAACTTTAAACAGGTAACATTTTTTACATCCATCACAATTATCATTCCAAAACACCTTCTTATATAATGTTTCAGTAAATATACAATACAATTTCTTTCCTCGAAGATTATAATGTATGAAAAATGTATTTCTTATAAAGAAATAAAATGAAAAACCAATCTCATTTTCAAAATATGTATCGCAAATATGTGTCCAGTTAATCACTGTAGCACATGTATCTTAACGAAATATACTTTAGTTTCTTACAAAATTCTACCGCATTTCCTTTCTCGTCATTCAATCGTATAATCTCGTTAGTTACGGTAATATTTTCAACTTACCCACAAGTTCAGCATTGCCGACTTGCCAGTCATATTGGCGAAAAAACATGTTGTTCTTCCCTCAAGTATACAAAACTCACTGAACCTTTATCTAATAATAAACTAATGCCCATCCCATACACTTTAACCCTTCTTATGAAATTCACAAAATATAACACTAGAATTTGGACGAAATTTGTTGGATAGGAACATTGAAATTTCAATGTCTACCCTGTATATTCCAAAACTAATATACTTATAAATATGAACATGAAAAAACACCTAATTTCTTTATTGACCATTAAGTCTACCAGTCATATCTTTTCACAAGTACATATAAAATTCCATTTAAAACAATGATCACGGATTTGTACACTGAAAAGTTTGATGCTCACAAATATAACCATTTAAGTTTATCTCCAATAAACATCAGTCATTTTAATAAATGAATTCAATATCTACTAACATTTTTATCTATAATATACTACATAACACATCAGACTTTCCACAAAACCATTCTTTTTTTAGTAATTATATACAAGTACACATACTCACCACCATTCACCTAATTTCTTGGACACTTCATCAGCCTCTTGATATGGCACTGCCAACATATAAAGTTGTTGTTTAGACAATAAATATTTATCAAAATCCCCTCCAGTGTTCCAGAGAATGCGGACAAACACATATGACAGATAGAAGGGGTCAAAGGAAGCAGTTTTCGCCAGTGAACTCAAGTCTATGAGGCCGGAGCTCTGCTCTAGAATATGTCTGGCCTCCTGCCAGGTCTCCATACAAACGCGCAAAGGCATTGCACGTCTGACTACCATTTCAAGCTGAGAGAGAGGTGGCAGCACTGATGGCCATAAACCAGGCCTTCACAACGTCTGCTTCCGCGGACATTCTGCACACAAGGGCTGGGCTTCTGACCGCGAGAGTGGCAAAAATACAAGTAGTAGGGGGTATGCTGGCTTAGGGAAGGAAAACCTCTTACATTACGATTGGGACAACGCGTAGATTGAATGCCTTGCCATCTAATGCAATGATCCATGCTGAAAGTATTTTCCCACTTATTTAAACGGGTAATGTCCCGTATTTCTACCTACAACGCCATATCGCATTGTTTATGTTCTTCTGTGCACTACTATTTAACGGCATACTTTCCTTTTTTAATTTTTTTCTTTCTGTTCAATATGATCTTAAACAATATTTTAAAGCAGTGGCCGTTTAAAAAATAGTATTTAATTATAACTAACAAAAATTTAGCATTTAATAATTGATTTTTTCACAGGAAGTTATAGTATCCAAATGATAGCAAAAGGAAGGAAATTATGAGACCAATCTGACACATCAAGATGGACATAAAAATGCAGTATAAGCAATTCCAAGAAAGTACTTCAATATATGGCAGCACATATATTTGTGACTATTTTTACCCGCCATGAATATAAATAAAAATACTAATGAGCATATACTGACGATTTGTTCGAGCAATCATGAGATTATTACGGGTCTTGTGAAAAAGAATGCAAAGGGCTTAATCTTTTTTTATACGATGTCGTATACGATTATGAATAGTATTTTGATATTAGAAATATATACTGTTCTCTTGTTCGAAATTAGATAGGAAAGATTATTTTAGAATACCTTTTTTAACTTTGATAGAGATGTGTTATTTTGTTATAGGTAAATAATAGTTAAATAACGTTAAATATATCAAGTTACATACAGTTAATAAAAATTGTTTATTACTGTCATCATCAAACAAAAATAATTCAATATTACTCTTTTGTGCTTAGTGCCACGCTAAATTTGTGGTTACATTCCAGCAAAGAGAATTCATTATCAAATTACAAGCAACTATTATACGTTGTGTCCAAATTAAATAAGTCTAATTTGATTAATGTTCATATTTCACATTGTCATATATCGACTACAAACATTTCCAATATAACAAAAAAGGAAATATTACTTGAATTTTAATGTGACAGTCCGTTATGTAACCATCCGTTTGTGTCCATCCATGTCGCCGATTGCGCTTTCACACTACAGTTCGTATTGCTCCTTCTCATTGGAGATCTCTATTCCTAGAATCCTTATCCCCACCCGTCCTCACCAGCCGCTTTGCCCCTGGAGTCGCCAGCGCGCTGCTTCCGAGGGCACTGAAAGTGCAAAATGCCGAGCGGGCCTGCCATTAACATCGCAGAAGGAGTGACCACTTCAGACAAATACTATAGAAACAATACAGGACACTTCGCGATATATCGAGAAACACTGATGCATTATTACTTCTAGGCTGTTCGGGTGACGCCGCGTCGTTGGTAGATAGGTCGACGTTTCGCCTGTCAAGTCGCACGCTTCTTCAGGTAGTGACACAGTAAAGCTCCGCCTCCGGTGTTATATCTTTTTCAGCTCAGGGGGTCGTGTACAAACACTGATGCCATCTAGTGGCAGAACCTGGTGAAAACTCATACAGCCTAAGCTCAGTGTTCTGTTGGTGTTTGTTTTCTGTTCGATTCTTGAAAATTTGATTGTCTTTCTGGCCAATTTCTGGAAAACGTATTTTACAATACAGTTCTTGTCATCCTTCCTTGTGGCAGGGAAAATTTGTGCAGTTTTTGGCTGTTTTAATTGTGAAATTCAAAAGAACTCGCGATCGTTCTTCACGTAAAACTAGTTTATCAACTGTAGATGAAAATAATAAATTATGAAACTCGCATATTATGACTAAGCAGTATGTGAATGCCACTATTTTCTACCAAAATGAATTAGCTATTAGTTTGTTTTCTAAGACTAAGTATTTTTTCAATAGAGACTTTTTAAATTGCTTAAAGTAAATTGCTCACAATAAACTTGAGGTCAAAAAAAATTAATGCAAATCATTAATATTCAATTGGAAAATATTGTATGTAATAAGTGCACTAATTTGCATGTAAGCAGAGGTATAATATATTGATAAAATGCTCTTTAAAGAAAGCAAATGAAAAAAAACCAAATGTATTACTGGAGGTGTTAAGGCAAGAAAAATCTTGCACTTTGTAACCATTTTATTCTTAGAATACATAAAACATCTCCTTTGTACATTATAATTTTCCGTAATTTAAGCCATTCAATGTAATTAAGTCACAAAAAAGTAGGTAAAAATGGTAGGTCTTATTTCGTGAGGTCAATTTAAAAAAAAATACTATTTCTTCCGTAACAATCATATTGATGTCTTTATTTGGCGCTGAAACACCAGGTTCTGACACTAGGAGCGCTAGTGGGAACTTCCGTCGGTTGCGTGAAAGAACGGGAAGTGTCCTGTATTGTCTCTATAGTATTTGCTTTAGGGCCCAGGGAGGCTGGAAATTTAATCATGATTTTAGCGCTACACTTTCTGATTGAACTTCATTCAGCACTCAACTATGCTTTTATTCTTATTAAGAACAATCATGTGTTACTCTGAAATCATAATTTAATCTACAAGAATTGTTGTGCATGTCTAATATAAGTTTTTCTCTCTCAGGCTGAAATATAAGACTAGGTCTGTAGTAGGCGTTTGTATGCCGACCTCTTAGGGAAGCAGGGGCCATTTTGAGTCTGTCTCAACACCGAGCTTTGAACTTTGAGATCTTCTTCTCAAATACTCAGTGTATCTAACTTATTATCATTAGCAATTCCACTATCAATTATCAGAAAGCCAACGTCAATTGGTCTTCCATCCCACAAAACGATCTATCAAATAAAATAAAAGTTCTCAGAGTTTTTAATCAAACAGTAAATGAGAATTTGACAAATGTTTAATCTATTATATCCATGGCAAAAATTCCTGCCAACAAAATTACGAAAATGTTACGGCAAAATACATTAAATCTGTATCTTTCGACACTTATTTTTGTGTTCATTTATTTTCACATTATATTACACTACTTCGATCCCATTTTTGCTCAGTTATCTATCTAATATCTCAAAAACAGAGCCATATTGTGCAAATGTCGAGGCAATAAATTAAATATTTTCATAAAAAGGTTCTTCATAAATACTGTAATAAGACATTACAGTGCGTAGTACAGTATTTTCATACATATTCAGTAAACAGTATTTTAGTCGTAGTTCAATAGTTCTTTACATACTAAGATGAAAATAGTTCACTTTTTAACGCAATACGTCACTAGCAAATATTTAATGGCGAGCTATCTCTTATATTAAACCTTGTGCCACTTCATGGCAGAGTCGAAAGTGGTATTTACTTGTAAATCGTGTGTGGTTACTTGTGGGCAGACGGCCATTGGCCACAGTTTCCCCCATATTTTTAACCCAAATGATCTTGGAAGCCATCGCCCCGGGTGGATCTAGGGAATCTTTTCAGAGCAGATGCGCCCTGCGGGCGTCCCCTGATGCACCAGATGTGACTCTCACTTTCTCCACCGGATGTCGGTCTCAGTTCATTATATGCGAGAGATCCGGTTGGGAGACCGTGAAATCCCCTTGGCCGTAGAGATTTAATTTTGCCTGGAACCTGGCACATTTTATTTTACAAAATCCCACTACTGTGAGATTTTCAACCCTTCCGCGACCCTCAGTGGGAATCGAACCGACGTACTGCAGATTCAAAGACCACTAAACGTACGACTCGCCCACCGATGTCGTACGCAGTGAGTAGGCTAGGAGATATCAGTTGGTACGCGCAGTAAGTGAATTGGCGGAATGACATAATTAAATATTTGAAGTTTTATGTCTAAATCGACACTCTAATTTTGTATTATACTTTCTCTGAGTTTGAAACAAAACCATAGACTTCTCGTACCTAACGGGACGCTGCATTGATTTCTATCAATTTTGGCACACACAGGATATTAGTCACACTGAATTCGTCACTGCGTATGACGCAGTGACCGTATAGTTCCCAGGATGAGGCCATTAAATATTTACTGATCACGTCTTGCTTATGGAATAACATTTTTAAAAATATTCTTAAAATGTAAATAACGGTTGCAATTTTTACTTACTATACTATGCTATTTCAGACAACTGAAGCTTGTTTTTGATAAATTATTGAATTTATTGTCATTTTATACGACAGTATTTTAATCGGAGTAAACAAATAGGTTCGATATCACATAACGTAAATGACAGAAAACTGCTCTTAAGATATAAATTAATAATAATTTAATATTACAACTGGACCAGACGTTCTTGAGTTATAAATACTGTAACTAACCCGACTTTGTTTTATCTATATAGATTGCATAAACGACTATTTGTTAACTTTTTCGCAGGGGTGCCAGAGCGAGTTGAGCTGTTGGCCGCCGCGCGGTGCAGCGAGCGCGCGCTCTCACCTTGCTTGTCTAGGAATGGCGCGGGCGGCGATGCGGGCGGCGCGGGCGGCGAGGGCGGCGGGCGGCCGGC